AGGCTAACCAGTCAGGCAGGGATGCTCTTGGCTGCTCAGTGGGCTATGCGGACGCTCTTACCATCTGAGGTCTCGAGTCCAGGGAGACTGGCCATTCGCTTCCAGACCTACACGGTGTCCCAGGACTGAACAGCTCTGGTCTCACTGCCACGTTCTCCTACCATAATGTATCTAAACTAGACTGCCAAAGACGGGAGCTGTAAGCCTGCTCCTTTATAGTGGAAATGCAAAATACTAGAAGCATTTTCTGAAGAGCTGCTTTTCCTTTTGTGGCCCTGGGCAGTCCTGTCGTGGATATTTAGAACAAAAGGGGAACTGGGCAGAGGGGTGATTGTATCTTAAGGAACATGTTTTTGTTTTGTTTTCGTTTTTATTGAGATATAATTGATGTGTAATTGACTGTATTAGTCCAAGGTGTGCAACATAATGATTTGATACATATATACATATATTGAAAAATGATCACCACAATAAGTCTAGTTAACATCCATTATGAAACATAGTTAACACATTTTTTTCCTCGTGATGAGCACTTTTAAGCTCTCCTCTCAGGAAATTTCAGCTATGTGAAATAATATTATTAACTACAGTCAACATGCTGTACATTACATCCTGAGGACTTATTAACTGAAATTTGTACCTTTTGACCTCCTTCACCCATTTCCCTTACCTCCTAATCCCTGCCTCTGGCAACCATCAATCTGTTCTCTGTATCTATGAGTTCAGGTTTTTTTAGATTCCACATATAACTGAGATCATATAGTATTTGCCTTTCTCTGTATGACTTATTTCACTTAACATAATGCCCTCAAGGACCATCCATGTTGTCACAAATGGCAGAATTTCTTTCTTTTCTATGGCTGAATGATATGTATATCTCACATCTTTATCCATGCATCTGTTGATGGACAGTTCATTTGTTTCTGTGTCCTGGCTATTATAAATAATACTGCAGTGAACATGGGGATGCAGATATATTTCAAGATGGTGATTTGGTTTCCCAGAAATGGGATTGCTGGATCATATGGTAGGCCTATTTTTAATCTTTTGAGGAACCTCCATACTGTTCTCCATAGTGGCTGCACCAATTTGTGTCCCCACCATCAGTGTAAAAGTGTTGCCTTTTCTCCACTTCTGTAGTCGATGAGCACAATAATCATTACTGCTCTTTTCCATTATTATTATAACATAAGATCTACCCTCTTAACAAATTTTTAGGTGTAGAACACAGTATCTTTAACTATATGCACATTACTACTCTTAATGATGATTCTGTGGTTTTGAGCCAATCCACATTGGCTTTTGAGTCTTCAAAGGAGAATTTAATTTACTTAGTAAAGTAATTATGTGTATATAATTAGTGTATGTATATATATACTAGTTTCTATATATATTTATAAGGCGTACAACATAATGATTTGATACATATATATTGAAAAATGATCACTAGTTTATATATAAATAATATATAATATATATATAAACTAGTATACATTATATATAAACTAATGTGTGTGTGTATATATATTATTTACATATATATATAAAATTAGTAATAGCCTAAACCACATAACAGCTTAAAGTAGAATATTCTGACAGCTGATCTAAATTAAAAGAAAAATAAATAGATATCTACCTACATCAAAAATGTATCATCTTAAATTAGCTTTTATAACAAAGTAAATGAATTGAGATAAAGAATGGAAATACATGGGGTGCCTGGGTGGCTCAGTAGGTTAAGCACCTGCCTTCCACTCAGGTCGTGATCCTGGGGTCCTGGGATAGAGCATCGCATCGCGCTCCCTGCTCAGCAGGGAGTCTGCTTCTCTTTCTCTCTCTGCCCCTCTCTCTTTCTCTCTCTCAAATATATAAATAAATAATCTTTAAAAAAGAAGAAAAAAAGAATGGAAATACAGGAGCAAGCAATTTGAGTAAATGTGACCATTTGGTTATGTTTAATATGCAGGATCATCAATCAGACTGCCTTTTTCCAAGGCCACATAGGCAAGTGATCTGGAGAGGCTCGCCCTGAGCACTTTTACCGTGATTAGAGTCTAAAAAGAGGAGATGCATTTGCAAACCCAAAAACCTAACAAGCCAGCACTATGGTGGGGAAAGAGCCAGGAACAAAAAGACTGAAATCACCAAAGAGAAACCTACCTGCTTTATGATAGGACCCCATAATTTCAAATTGTGACACTACAGTAAGTCCTTAGCATCCAGTGCAAACACTTGTCCTTACTACCTAGAGCACAGTGGTTCTCAGACTTCCCAGAGAGCCAAAGGTATCACTGCCTTAAGTCAGCCCATTCATGTCGGATGAATATACCGCAACAGACCAGTACTCTTTGTATTATGATTTATACAAATACGTATGTAAAACACAAAGTTAAGGATCCCATAGTTTCGGTTTCTTTAAGTGCATTTGTTGAATAACTCCATTGGGCCAATTCTTTTTCCTGTACAAGGTTTTTTATTCTTCTAACAGAATGCACCCATCTAGAGAAACTTGTTCATTCATCATAATTAATCGTCATCAAAAAACCTGTTGGAAAGTCTAACGGTAAAGGGGATTATTTTTAATAAACATACAAAACACATATCGAAACATAAAAGAAATAGATCAGCTCTCAGACAATAATTAGGCACCTTTTAAAACCCTCAAGGGAAAAACATCTTTAATATCAAAATACTACAACCCCATAATGTGCATCCTCCCTCCACACTGTCAGATAATTAGGTCAGTAAGATGCAGAGAAATCGTTACTTTAGTTATAAGATCCTGCTGTGATGTACACAGATAAGTCTGCATTATCTAAGGAAAAAAATCAGAAAATTTGTTGTTAGGGGTTCTTTGTGAGTCTGTTCACACTCAAAATCTTTCCCATGGTAAGAATTCTATGGGACAGAGTACCGGGGGTGGGGATACATGTGGAATACAGGGACCTCCCTGAACGCATTCACTCTGGGGGCCTTACACGAGGGGTAGAGCAGAGACTCAGTTCTGGGATCTGGTACAGAAGCCAGTGGGTAGTGTTAAAGCTGAGGTTGTTCACAAAACCTAGTGCTCTTTAGAAATGTGAATCTTGTGCTCGCTTCGGCAGCACATATACTAGAAATGTGAATCTTGGCTTCCCAGAGAGTACTGTATCCTTCTTACAAGTATTCGTCTCTCTTAAAAGGTTTCTAATCTGCCTAATTCATAACTACTTATAACCCTGAAAAGATTTTGATGTTGGACTTTGATTGAGCATGCATAGTTGGATATGTAATAAAAATAAAGTTTGGTTTCTTCATACTAATACTATAAAATAACTACTATAAAAAGCATTTAACATTAATAATATATTTAGAAAGCAAATTATATGATATATGGATGGTATATTTCCAGTTGCATGCTTAAAATATTTATGCATTGAAGAAAAAAAGCAAGGCATATACAAACTATTCTGGGTGTTATTCTGGGAAGTGGCATTATGGGTGTATTTCTCTCCTTTGTTGTTGGTTTTTTTTCTGTATTTGTAAGTGTTTGATAATAAACATGTATTATTGTGAAAGAAGGAAAATGTTTTACGATTGACTCCCAAAAGCTTTAACAATTGAAAAATTTGAAATCTAAGATTGGAATCTATATGTTAAAAGTCTAGGCTGCTCTGTCTAATATGGCAGCCACTAGTCTCAAGTAAATATTTAAAATTATATTTAAATTAGGGCTCCTGGGCAGCTCAGTCAGTTAAGCATCTGCCTTCTGCTCAGGTCATGATCCGTCCTGGGATCGAGTCCCGCATCAGGTTCCCTGTTAGCGGGGAATCTGCTTCTGCCTCTGCCCCTCCCGTCTGCTCGTGGTCTCTCTCTGGTGCTCGCTCTCTCTCTCTCTCTCAAATAAATAAATAAAATCTTTTTAAAAATTATATTTAAATTAATTAAAAGCTAACCAATTTATTAACAGTTTAATTCTTCAGTCATACTAGCCACATTTTAAGTTTCATTAGCCCCGTTATCATCATCACAGAAAGTTCTATTTGACAATCCTAATGGAAGCAGGTTACCAACTGAGCCCTGAGTACTAAAGACAAAAGTGAGCCAGTTTTCAGTGGCACAGGAATGGGCATATGCCCCTCGCCATAGACGCTGAGAGACTTCTCATCAGCAGTCCCTTTTATACACCTCACCAGTCTGAGGCCAGATAAGCTCAGAGGTTTTTCCCCACAGGCATCCTGTTACTTAGTGATGGAGCAAGGACGAGAACTCAGCGCGACCAGCTCCTCAGGCAGAGCTCCTGCCAACATATCACTATGACCATCTCCTCCAGAAAACCAAAGCTTCCCAAGCAAGACTTCAGCTCAATTCAGCACAATTTCATGTCACAAACATTTTTTGAGTGCTTCCAGTGTGATAGGTACCATAATAAGCCTTCAATATATAAAAGCAAGTAAGAGACGTGTCTCTATCCCCAAAGGAAGCCGAAGGGATAAAACGGAAGGGCACAAAGTAGGGAAAGGTATGTTCTTGGGAAATCTAGAAGTGCTCCACCTATCATAAATAGGTTTGTGTAGGGTCTCCACGTTTGTGCACCCAAATCCACACGTTAGCACTTCTTCTCCAACATTCTCAATTTTCCTCACCCTCCAGAAGAAAAGAGACTAGACTCCATTTTTGAAATGTAGCCTATCCTCGCCCTAATATTGCTTTGTTTTTATTTTTGTTCTTTCGGTTTAACTTCACATGGGATAGTTAGAGACACTCAACAATCTTAACATGAACTAATTTTCTCACGTTTAGGCCTGGTTTTATATATGCAAAATAATTTTAAATCTTGAAATAAAATGAAATACTGCTTTGATATTTAGTCATCCATCCCATTTCAGATTATATAAAAGCAAATAAAAATTTTGAGTGAATGGTTATTTTTCAGCCAGTTGTGTTGGAACTGTTTAAACACAGGTTAACAACCTGGAACCCTCCGTCCTCATATAAATCGTGCTCCTGTATTTTAACAGATGCGATGCTCTTGGTGGCAGAGCGACTGGAAGGACCATTCAACATTGAGTCTGTCATGGACCCAATAGATGTCAAGATCTCCGAAGCCATTATGAACATGCAGGAAAACAGCATGCAGGTGTCTGCAAAGGTATTTGCATTAGTCATATTTCTACGAGTAAGGGAAGTGCAGTAATCTAAAAATGAAGTAACTAGATATGTCGGCTGGGATTATAAATTCTAATACATTGTCGGAGAGCTTTTCCTATTGAGCTGCAAATTTGCTACTTCATTAAAAATGTCCAACAAAATGGCATTGAGAAAGGAAGCAATCTTTTCGTTCTCAGCTACTCAATCATGGAATTTCAGAGAGCCCCAGGTAGATTGACTAATCCCTCACATTTGTGAGCAATTTGGGGGAAATTTTCTTTCTTATATGTTTGAAATTTCTGCACACCCTCAACCCATTCTCTCTCTAGGAAGTTCTAATTATATCTTCAGCTGTGCAAACCGGCAAATGTCCTATATGTTCAATCGTAAATAATTAAACATTTCATCTGACTTTCTTTTTTAAGACTATGGCGTAACCTTCATTAATGAATATTCAGGGAAAAATGCTCCTTTGTATGAAGTCAAGCACACATTAAAAGAAGAAAAGTACATTTTCATAAATCATGAGACAGAGCTTCTGAGATTGCAGCTGCAGAACACAAATACCAGGTTCCCCATTTTTATTTGTCCCCCACTCAGTTAAAGATAAACAGGACCTGCCTTAGACAAAATTGAGAAGTTTGCCAAGGATCTCCAGGCTGTTCTTCATTGCCCCTTTTGCCCGCCAGGATAACTGCACAAAGCCCTTATGTTCTTTTTAGTGGTCTCCCTGTCATGACACACTAACCAAATCTGTATCAGTCCTTTAAACCTGGTTGGTGACTGAGTGATTGTATTTTAATTGAAAGTCATTCACACAAAAATATGTCAGGCAGAGAGATGCATGCTTAGCTCTCTTCGATTTTTAAAATCCTTTGTGAAAGAGATTTCAGATATAATCAAGGAGGAGGGGATGTGTGAAGGCAGGGGGGGAGTTACAGCAGAAAGAGAGCCATGGAATCAGACTAGGTTTCCGCCGCTGAGTCTGAATCAAACCAGTTTGGGGCTTTTCGGGGTTAACTGGTAGGAAGTAGGGTAAGAAAGAATCTGGCCTCACTTTCTCTCTCATTGAGAGAGGGACAGGTCAAGAGTTTTACAGGCCTAGCTCTGAATTTTAATGGGCTTGGGGTAGCCTGTGTAAAGGAGGATGCCTCAAATTACCACCACCCATTGGGGAAATAGCACATTTGGGGGTTCCACGAAAAGCTATTTTCTTCCTTTCCTGGGAAAAAATAGCAATCATTTATTCCTCCCAAATCTATTGCCTAGACACGGATTCATGTTGTTTTAAGAGGCCACCAGCCCAGCAGTGCTCGAGTAACCAGGTGCTCAGCTTGCTGATATACAAAACAGCCCTAGAGAAGAGGGTGTAAGAAGCACTCGGACAAAAGTGGTTTGAGACCACCACACACTTCTTAGAAGGATCTTCACTGGAGCACGTACATACGTGTTCAAGTTATTCTATTGAAAATTCTCTAAGAGGTCAGATGGACTCTCTTTATTACCAGAATGTGGATGAGACATTTTTGTGGAATTTGTCCAACTACATTATAATAGGAGGGTTGTTAATAAGGAATGTGCTTTTTAAAAAGACACATTTCTTTGTAAAAAATGTCAAAAATCAAGAGTAGAAATAATATAGGGCATGTAAGGAAGGGTACACTCACGTGAGAGGATATTGTATAGCAGATCATAAAATAACAGGACAAAAAAATGTCAAATGAGCTAGAAACAAAGAAAGCATATCTGGTAGTCTTGACACAGGGCAAAGGGGAGTGAGTTAAAGAAGGAGGGAGGGCGCCTGGGTGGCTCAGTTGGTTAAGCGACTGCCTTCGGCTCAGGTCATGATCCTGGAGTCCCGGGATGGAGTCCCGCATCGGCTCCCTGCTCAGCAGGGAGTCTGCTTCTCCCTCTGACCCTCCCCCCTCTCGTGCTCTCTCTCCCATTCTCTCTCTCAAATGAATAAATAAAATCTTTAAAAAAAAAAAAAAAAAAAGAAGGAGGGAGAGGAGAGCAGCCAGGCTCTGCAGGACAGAGGGATGGGAGACAGGCTGCAAAGTGGAAGAGGGTTTGAGGAAGGACCAAAGCCAGCCTCGAACATAGTGGAGAGGCAACAGGTGGTTGGAATTTGGATACATTTAGCAGGAAACACCAATAGGATTTGCTGATAGAATGGGTATATTCTCCAAGAGGCTTTATTGCATGGAATTTGGAAACAGGTAATTTTCATTTTCCATTTAAGCCACATCCATGAAATTATACACGAACTAAAGTCTAGAATCTACATTTTTGCTAAGAACTGGAGGGTTGTATCCCCCCCTTTTTTTTGAGTAGGTTCTATGCCTAGCGTGGAGCCCAACTCAGAGCTTAAATTCACAACCCTGAGATCAAGACCTGAGCTGAGATCAAGAGTCAGATGCTTAAATGACTGAGCCACCCAGGCACCCCATGTATTTTTCCTTTTTCAAGGGAACCCTCAGTCACCATTGATAAACAGTCTCACTGAATTAGGAGTTCTAGATGTCCACTTTGGCTGGAATATTTGCATAATGAGGCTTCCTTAAATTCTGATAAGGCTTTGAGTGAGGCCAGAAGTTATTTCCTAATTGAGGGTAGGGGTGGGGGTGAGCACACATCCTGAGAGTTGTAAAGCCTACAAATTAAAATGACTTTTTATTCTAGGACATGATTGGCAATTTCTCCTTGGAAAATCATTTACCTTATTACACCAGTTGCTGTTAGCAGTCATTCCAGAACCTTTTTCAGAAAAGCAACGGTGTTTATAACTGTTAGATCATATGTTAAATGCTTACTTCAAAGGACTACACTGTGCTATATGTGGTTTATATTATGTAATATTTATAACAGTATTTGTATGAGCTAGAACCTCCCCCCTTATTTTCCAGATAAGGAAACCAAGGCTTAGAAAAGTTAAGTAACGTACAGGGGCCTCATGGTGCATAAAGAGCGCATAGAGGAGGGTTCTGATGACAGGACCTACGTTGCCAGATCACTGCATTATAACAATGAGGGTGTCTCCGAAGCCAGTCTCACCCAGGGCGGAGTTCAGTAAATATTTGCTGAATAGATCAAGTATTAGGAGAAAGTTCAAAGGCTTTCAGTAAAACCTTCCTGAGAAGCTGAGGACACAGGGTGGCAAAGCCAAAAGGACTCAAGTTGTCTGTCTTTCTGTCCGATTCCCTTCATAACTCTACCTACTGCTTCCCACCATGCCCAATTCTACTGAAATCATTCTCTTATCAAGCCTCATTGCTTCCAGCCTTTCCTGAAGTTGTAGTAGTACAAAGGATAAAAGTTACTTTCGTCTCCCTCTCTCTATCTGGAGGCAGAAGGTGAACCCACCACGGATTCAGATACGAAATTCCCCTCCTCTAATGCCGTTGGCTCTCATCAAATCTGCAGGAGAACAGCTCATTTTTTGTACCTAGTCCCTGATCCTGATTTAGTGGGATTTACCCACCAATGAAAAGATCTGTCCCCACCAAGTATGCTCCTGCTCCAATCTTGTCTTAGGACTGTTTTTATACATACTATCAGATCTTTTTCCTCTCCTATTTAGCTCATAGCTAAACTGTTAGCTGTAAGGATTACTGACATTCCTTCCAAAAAATACATTGGCTAGGGGTGCCTGGCTGGCTCAGTCGGAAGAACATGAGACTCCTGATCTCAGCGTTGTGAGCTGGAGCCCTGTGTTGGGTGTAGAGATCATTTAAATAAATAAACTTAAAAAAAAATACATTGGCTATGCCGAGTTGTATAATCAGGTTATAAAATTTTGGTAATAACATTATGGCACTTATTCCAAACTCTTGGTTTGTGTATTCTTTGTATAACATGATATTATATGTTATATAATATATATTATATATATCATTATATATGTGTATGTACACATTTTTAAGGACTGGAAACAAAAGCACATTAAGACTTTGGACAAATAATCCCCTAGTAACAATGATAATCATCATGGCCACCAGTAATTGAGCACCTAGTATATTCATTCAGCAAATACCCTATCATGTACCAGGCATGAGGAATACACTAGAAGACAAAACAGATCCTCGGCCCCATGTCAGTCTCTTTCTACGTGTTTTATATATTTATTCCAAACCCTTGCTGCAATCTTGTAGAGCATCTTTTTCCTGATTTTATAGGTAAAGAATGTTAAATTTACAGGAATTGAGTAGCCTTCCTGGGCTCAGGCAACTAACAAGGGGCAGACTTGGGATGACCCCTACAAATGATCTGATCCAAAGAAAAAGACCTTCCCAGCATGCCACTGTTCCCTCAATAAGTATCTTCCCACCTAGTCCATATATACTTCAGCACTGGAGGACCCAGCCTTCTAAAGGAGGGCTATTGCCTAAAACACACTACAGGGAATGTTCTGATGAGAAACAAGTGCTGTTCATTCTTCAAGCCCCAACCAAGCTTATTACATTCACCAACTTCCCAATCTTCATCACACACAGGAAAGCTCCCTCATTATTCTACCACTTCTGTTACCCACCCAAGTGAAAGAACTTTGCAGGCATATGGAAATTCCCCAAGGGAAGAGAGAGCAAAACTTGCTGAGTCTCTGCCTGTGAAATTCAGATGTGTTGATAGTCTCCTTCTTATCCTATCAGAGAAGATGAAACTGATCTCACTCGATATAATTTAACTGTATTAGGAATAATTTCAAACCTAATCCAGGAAAAGATTGGTTTGTCAGATATAATCTAAATTAAGAAGGAAGACTTATTAAATTCCAACTGAAACCATCCATTCAATTAATACTTATTACAGACGAGGGTAGAACCCATTATGGAAAAGTAGGGTGGCCTCCAGGTACTTAATTTTCTCCAGACAATTCTTTCTGAATCTATAGTACTAATGAAGATGAGAGGGGGGAAAAAAAGAAAAAGAAAAGAAAAAAGCCTAAGAGGATGGAAAAGAGAATGTAATATCTGCTTCTAGCTAGTGGGTCTTAGTCTCCTC